TGATCATAAATGATGTCATATACAACACGTTCGCACACTTTTGATAAAGTAGAGAGCAATGAGATAGGGCGATAGTTGCTGGGGGTGGTGCGTGGTCCTCTATTTTTGTAGGTGGCCACGACTACCGCAGTTTTCCACATGGCTGGGAATTTCCCTTCACGAAATGACATATTCAAGATAATTGACACAGGATAGGCAACAGACGGAGCAAGAGCTCTCCAAACTTCGTTGGTAATTCCGTCTTGACCAGGGGACTTGCCAGTTTTCAGATTACGGAGATATTTCCTCACTTGGGCTGTACCAGTCGACAATGATAGGAGAGACGCAGGTATTGAGGGTGAAGGGGTGAGTGGTGGTATAGGCCACGTAGGGTCGTCAGGAAGTCCAAACGACGTAAACTGCGTGTTCAATATGTCTGCTATGTCTGCGGGATCTGTTGCTACCGTGCCGTCTGAAGCTGTCATTGATCGGATCGGCTCCCGACTACAGTTCTTACGGAGATGGCGGAGAAATTGATGGAGACTAGGGCGATCATGGGAAGACAGGGTGGCATGAACCGACTGTACATACTGACGATGGAGGGTACGTGACAAACACTTCACTTCGTTACGCTTGCGCTTAAAGGCAATGAAGTTTTCACTGGTTGGATACTTCCTATAAATGCTATACAAATCTCGCTTCAGTTTCACAGCACACTTGAGGTCCGGAGTGATCCAGGGTCGGGATGCATCCCGCATAGTAGGACGAGGCCTAATGTAGTCACTTCACGATTTGTGACATTTCGGCGGCGATTTATTTTCGGCGTGGGGTAGATCGGGCATGGTATAGTGCGACAGATGCTGTGAAAAATTTCATCGGCGTTTTAATTTAGGCGTTTTGGGTCGGTGCCGAATATAGCCGAAATTAAATAGCTGCCGAAAATTTGTATATTTACAGTAATGCCGTATGCAATTATGGCACTCCAACCTGTCAAGTGTCATATCCCGGGTATATTTCTCACCACATGGGAGTCATGCTGTACGAGTACAGGGAGGTGTACAATCATGTACACTCGGATATACTGAACAATGTTACAAATCATCATTGAATATTAAAATGCAGATCTAGATCTAAAGGCAATACGCTACATGTCACCAGGGCCCAGGGGTCACCATTATGGTCCATGTACAGTGGGACTTCCGTGAGAAATGAGATCACCCAATTTCGAGGAACTAGCTACTAATAAGTAAGAAGTTTGTGGACTTCATGCAACTGCATGATAAAAGAAGGATACAAATTAATAGTGCTCTGTTTCTTTGGTTAGAGTTTCATGGAAAAAGCAATCATGAGACATTTTAGCATGAAACTCAGAGTAACAACGATATGGCCCTGTTGTACTTCCTTTTGCGTACCTCTTGAGGTTAAAATGCCAATGATTTCAGGGGTGAGTCAAAGGAACCGCTTACGGGCGCTAACTATACAACGTGAATCAGCGGATTCGCTTATGCAGTGCAGTTATGGGCGCTAAGCGTACAGCGGAACCGCCTATGGGTGCTATGTGGTTAGTGCAAGTGCATAGCTGTGAAAATAACTGCATGTTTGTGGAATGGGAGAGAAACAGTTGTGCCTGTTGTTACAGTGCATTTGTGAAGTAGCACGCGCATGTTCTTACAATTCATGGAATATCACCAGCAAAAGAAAATATATATTTGTACCAGCAGAAGCATGACCATTGACCAAACCAGGCCTACGAGAAGTAACGTTTGCAGCCAGGAGGCTGAAAATGGTGTGTAGGGTGTGCGTAGCAGATTGGAGATGAAGCAAGCATTGGGAGAATGAAACTGTTAGAAGCTGGCGCATTCATGGACGTGAGCATCCTTCGCTTTCTGTTTGGCAGGAGTCACGCATGGAAATGTTCAGAATGAAATTGGACTCGGCTGGAAGCTGCAATGAGACAATAAGAAAACAAGAATCAGTGGAATGTTTAGGCAATGACAGTGAGTGAGACTGAGGGTGAAGGATGGCAAAACATCAACTTAGTATTCTGTAACGTGTTGTAAATTTGCAACTACTCTTTGACAGAATCAGTACAGCCTAAATCTAGACTGAAGCTCCACAGCTCTTAGAAGGGCAATTACAAAGTACTTTGGTAGTAATCTACACGGCGTAGGACTATCACGAAGTGAACTACTCCCTGGCCCTCGTACCATAGACCATTGATGTTGCATGGGTAAAGAAGAACGTCCATCTGCTCTACTACGCATATACTTCTCTCCACCGTCGAAGCAACAAACCGGAAAATCCCTGCAACTGCAGAGACAAGCCATCCTGTCAACTTAACAGCGAACGCCAAACCACGGAGCTGATCTATGTAGCATCCATAACGTCAGGCCCCACCACCGGTATGTCTGCGCCACCGTTCAAATCACGCCATGCCAACCACATGACAACAATCAGATACGAAAAGTACTCCAGCGGCACTGAATTCTCCAACCACATCTGGAACCTGAAGAAATCTAATGCCCAGTACGAAGTCCAGTGGAGGATAAAAGATCGCGCCCGAGCGTACACCAACATCACAAAGAGGTGTTTCCTATGTACCAGAGAAAATGACCAACTCCTCGACACACTAAAATCATCATCCAACCTCAAAAAGCGCTAGGAAATGGTGTCCAAGTGTCGAGACGAGAACAAGTATCTCCTCAAACCCCACGGTGTCACCAAAAATGTCTCCACAACCTCCTGCCTACACCAACCACACACCTTGCTCACAACCTCCTGCCAACACCAACCACACGCCTTGCTCACAACCTCCTGCCTACACCAACCACACACCTTGCTCACAACCTCCTTCCAACACCAACCACACACCTTGCTCATAACCCCCTGCCAACACCAACCACACAGTTCATCACAGTTGGAGCACTATTCAAGAGAGGGTTATATTTTTTCAATGCTAGTACATTCACGTCATCCACCATACAAATAAGTCAAACAAGAGTCTAATGTTTCCTATATAAACTATCGTGAGTCGTGACCTAACAGACACTGCAAGTGTTGTGGTCCCATTCGCTTACCCATAAATGGATGACACAATCTATATAATTATCGTTCTATGTACTCTGTACTCTCATGAGTCTATCGATGTACCCGATCCGTTCCTGGATCAGTTACCTATGCATTCCCGTAATGTGTACATATACGCATCATGACAGTTTATCTTTATCTTTCCTTCTTCTTGTAAATAAACCTCAGTCGTTGTCTGGAGCTGTTGAGTGGAGTCTTGTGTTTGACGTTGGGACAAACCCAAACGTTACATGGTGTCAGAAGTTTGATTGCAGAAATGTCTTCTGCAAAGTTCCCACTCCCCGGCGCTTTCGACTTCTCAGCGCCAGAAGCATGGCCAACCTGGAAAGCCAGGTTCGAAAGATTTCGCTCCTTGACCAAACTGGACGAGTCAGACCAGCCACGCCAGGTGGATACGCTTGTTTATTCCATGGGTCCCGAGGCCGACCCGATCTTCGAGTCTTTGAACCTGTCGGCGGAGGACAAGAAGAAAATTGCTCCTGTCCTTTCAGCATTCGACAAGTATTTTCGCCCTGGCGTGAACGTGATCCACCAGAGGACTCTTTTCGAGCACTGCGTGCAGTCCCCAGGGGAAACTGTCGAAACGTATGTCCGCCGACTACGAGCCGCCGCCAAGTACTGCGCATTTGATAAACCTGATGAGAGAATCCGAGACCGACTCGTAGCTCACATGACGAACAGAGAAGTTTCAAAAAAGCTACAGCTCGAGGATCACACCTCACTGGACTTGGAAACAGCCGTGAGTCTTGCTCGGAAAACGGAATCCGTGAATGCTGAAGTCGCCCAGCAATCTTCCTTGGACGGGCATCTCGGCAAGCAAGCTGCTGCAGCTATAACTAGTCGCGCTCGAGGCCATGGACAGCGCTCCTCGCCTGCATCCAGCAAGTCGTCTAGTAAGAAATCGTACCAATCGTCAAGTGGAAACTTTCGCAAGTGCTTGTGGTGTGGTTCTTCAAAGGATCACAAGGCAAACCGCGATGAATGCCCAGCGAAGTCAAAGACGTGCTTGACTTGCCAGAAGACAGGCCACTTCGCGTCAGTTTGTCGTAGCAGTTCCAATGGTTCTGGACGCGCTGCACATGCTGCGTCGACGACAGGACATGACGAAGACCCAGCACACTTTCTGGGAGCAGCCTCGACTCAAAGTAACAGCGCTGACGCACCCTGGACTGTGCAGCTCCGTGTGTGTCACGCGGACATCAATTTCAAGATCGACACAGGCGCAGACCTGAATATCTTGACCCGTGACTGTTTCCACACACTGCCAGAACGACCAGCACTCAGTCCCACCAAGTCTCATGTCACCGGAGCAGATGGCAAGAAGCTTGACATTGATGGCGAATTCAGTACTGAGGCTACCCTGCATGGTGTCTCGTACTCCATCACACTCCTGGTCATTGCCACTGGTGGTGTCAACCTGCTAAGCCGCCAAACCTCGCAGAGAATGGGTCTAGTCCAGCAAGGCCACATTGGTGTGTCAACTGCTAGCCCTGCCCTTGGTTGCATGCTCGGCGACCCAGTGAAGATTGAGCTTCGCCCCGATGCAAAGCCATACAACTGCGTCAACGCACGTAGGGTGCCCATCCATATCCGCCTCAAAGTTCGTCGCGAGCTGGAACGGATGGAAACTGAGGGGGTGATAACAAAGGTGGAACAGCCGACAGACTGGTGTGCGCCGATGGTCCCGGTGTTGAAGCCGAATGGCAATGTCCGAGTGTGTGTCGATCTGAAAAAGCTCAACGCGAGTGTCAAACGGGAGCATTTTCCGTTGCCTACTGTGGACGACACGCTGGCAAAGCTTAATGGGTCAACCATTTTCTCCACACTCGACACCGCATCTGGTTTCTGGCAAATTCCCCTGTCAGAAGAAGCCTCCATGTTCACCACGTTCATCACCCCGTTCGGTCGGTTCAAGTTCGAACGCCTGCCGTTCGGAATCACCAGTGCTCCGGAAATTTTCCAGCGCCGTCTCCAGCAGCTCCTCGGTGACATCCCGAATGTGGCCGTTTTCATTGACGACATCATTGTGTACGCTGCGACGATGAGTGAACACGATGCTGCCCTCGAAGCCGTTAAGCAGCGACTCATAGACGCCGGTCTAACGCTCAATCCGGACAAGTGTCGCTTCCGCCGCACGTCACTGAAGTACCTGGGCCACCAGATCAGTGACAAGGGTGTCAACCCAGACCCAGCTAAGCTCGAAGCCATAGAGAAGCTCACAGTGCCTAGTGATGTCGACGAACTCCGTCGTGCACTAGGGTTGATCACCTATCTGTCTAAGTTCCTGCCCGAGCTGTCTACCGTTGCTGCGCCGTTACGCGACCTGCTCTGCAATGACACTGCATGGCAGTGGACTGCTGCGCACACCGAAGCCTTCAACCGCCTGAAGCAACTCGCCGCAGACGCACCATGCCTCTGCTACTATGACCTGGAAGCACCCACTTTGCTGACTGCTGACGCCAGCAGCTACGGTCTCGGTGCTGCTCTTCTCCAGTTCCCGAATGGTGAATGGAAGCCGGTAGCATATGCCTCGCGCACACTATCAGCCGCTGAGAAACGCTACGCCCAGATAGAGAAAGAGCTCCTAGCCACTGTCTGGGGTTGCGAACACTTCCACCAATATCTGTACGGTGGACCGCGTTTCATTGTTCACACCGACCACAAGCCGTTGGTCCCGTTAATAAACAGTCGCGATCTGGACCGTGTGCCACTCCGGTGCCAACGCCTGTTGATACGTCTGATGCGCTACGACGCGCAGGCCGAGTACGTTCCTGGCAAGAACATGGTAGTAGCTGACACTCTGTCCAGAGCCCCCTTGCCTACAGCACCCGTCAAGGAATCGGAGCTTCACGGGGACTCCGAAGCGACAATAGCGGCAGTCCTCGCCTCTCTCTGCAGCCCAGAGAAGGAGCACGCGCTTGTAGAAGCAACCGCCAATGATGTCACGCTACAGAAAGTACAGCACTACACACTCCACGGCTGGCCAGCTCGAGTCCCCGCTGACTTGGAACCGTATCGCAATGAGCGCGCTTCACTGTCTACTCATGGTGGTCTCCTCTACCATGGATTCCGCATCGTGATTCCAGTAGCAGAACGCGCTAGCACCCTAGCCAAGCTACACGATGGTCATCAAGGCATCACTAAGTGTCAAGCCCGCGCAAAGTCGTCTGCATGGTGGCCAGGTATCTCGATGGCAGTTGCTGAGTATGTCCGGAATTGCACCATCTGCTCCAAGCATCGCTACCAACCACCGGAGCCTCTTCAACCAACTGAGTTCCCATCTCTGCCATGGGAGAGGGTAGGCGTAGACCTCTGCCACTACAATGGTCATGACTACCTCGTCGTCGTGGATTATTTCTCTCGGTATATCCACGCATCTCCGGTCCGCAGCACGACATCGCAGTCAATTATCAAGGAACTGCTGAAGTTGTTTGCGATACACGGTGTACCCGAAGTCCTGGTATCGGACAATGGCCCGCAATTCGCCAGTGCCGAGTTCTCAGCCTTCGCAACCGTGATGAAAGTCAGCCACCGTACGAGTAGCCCGAGATATCCGCAGAGCAATGGTGAGGCGGAGCGAGCAGTACAAACCGTCAAGCGTCTTCTCAAGACTAACGACAACCTTGACGATGCCCTTCTCGTCTACCGGTCCACACCATTAGCGAACGGGTTCTCACCAGCAGAACTGCTATTCGGTCGCCGTCTTTGCACCCGTCTTCCGTCTACGAAGGAAGCGCTCCGTCCCGGCTGGCCGGATATCGAAGCACTACGGAAACGTGAGGCAGCCAGCAAGACACGCCAGAGTGCTAGCTATGATGCCGCACATCGAGTACAGCCACTGCCAGTACTAGAGCAAGGTACAAGAGTTTGGATCCCTGACCTAGAGTCAGAAGCAGTTGTCACTGAACGTACCGATGAGCGTTCGTATACCGTAGCCACAGACGACCTCACCGAGTACCGCCGTAACCGTCGCCATATCAAGATACTGCCCGATGTGCAACCGGCGCCGCAGTTGAATGCCAGTGCACCTGAACCTCCATCCGCTGATGTAGAGTTTCAACCTGCCTTGCGCCGATCCACACGTCCTTCCCGGCCGCCGCCGAGACTCGACCTGTGAACACATTGCTCAGTATTATGTGTTTCTGCCCTCTCTTGTTTGTATGTGCAGGACTCTGTATTCTCTGAGTTTTGCGTTTCTCTTCAAACATAAAAAGGGAGATGTTGTGGTCCCATTCGCTTACCCATAAATGGATGACACAATCTATATAATTATCGTTCTATGTACTCTGTACTCTCATGAGTCTATCGATGTACCCGATCCGTTCCTGGATCAGTTACCTATGCATTCCCGTAATGTGTACATATACGCATCATGACAGTTTATCTTTATCTTTCCTTCTTCTTGTAAATAAACCTCAGTCGTTGTCTGGAGCTGTTGAGTGGAGTCTTGTGTTTGACGTTGGGACAAACCCAAACGTTACAGCAAGAAGATTTGCAATTTTGATCCCGAATCCACCAGGGCAATTACATGGACAAGAACATTAGCAAAAAAACACCAAACTTGCACACCCGCTTGAATGCAAGTCCGGAGACGGGGCACTATTCAAGAGAGGGCTGTACTTTTTCAATTGGCTCTCAGAGACAGGGGCACTATTCAAGAGAAGCCTCTAATCGCGTGAGTACGGCAGTCATTTAAAATGCTGATCAACATCTAACAATTTTTAAATCTATCATTATCGTTCCCTCACCACCTGCTCAAACATCTAGTGAGGGAAAACTTACGTCACAGAAGAAGCGCGCATCAACAAAGGTCTGATTGACAGGCAGTGAGCCGAGGGCAATTGGACAAAAATCACTGATGGTAACCACAAATCCCGTTTGGACAAGACTGCGCAGTCCTTGCAGACTAGACAAGACGGGATTCGCAGTTATACTGAGGAAATCCGAGATGGTGTGCACACTTTCAAGTTCATCAAGTGATGCCAGAGCCTGAATATCATCATTGGCAGATTTGCAAGAAAAAAAACGAAGAAGAAAAGAAACACATGCATTGAATAACCTAGCATAAAAGAAGAAGAAAACAAACACATACATTGAATACTCAGATGGAGAGCCAAGGTTTAATTTATACAAAAGAGAAAGACCAAGGAACTACAAGTCACGCTTTACTGTCCACTAACATCACCAGTTACTAAACAATCAGCTCATGCGATAACATTGCACGACACTGACCGACGGTACTGACGTTCTACAACTAACTGGCTAACAGCTCTAGCACATCTTGGATGCGCACTCCAACAGCCTTCCAACTTGGAAGGTTCTACGTTATGGAAATAACATAAGGAGGGGAAGGTGAGCGCAACCAAGATAAGCACGAGCTGAAGGTCTCAGCTGTGAAGGACATTGGCGGATGTTCATGCATGTCGATGACGATACTGGCAAGACCATTGGACAATACGGTCAAACCACGATTCAAGAACGCAAAGCAACATTCCACACAACTTGTGTGGCTCAAAAGATGCGTTCTTGAATCGTGGTTTGAATCGTGGTTTGACCGTATTGTCCAATGGTCTTGCCAGTATCGTCATCGACATGCATGAACATCCGCCAACGTCCTTCACAGCTGAGACTTTCAGCTCGTCCTTATCTTGGTTGCGCTCACCTTCCACTCCTTATGTTATTTCTATAACTTAGAACCTTCCAAGTTGGAAGGCTGTTGGAGTGCGCATCCAAGATGTGCTAGAGCTGTTAGCCAGTTAGTTGGAGAACGTCAGTACCGTCGGTCAGTGTCGTGCAATGATTATGTTATCGCATGAGCTGATTGTTTAGTAGCTGGTGGTGTTAGTGGACAGTATAGCGTAACTTGTAGTTCCTTGGTCTTTCTCTTTTGTATACATTGAATACCCTAGCATTTCATCATCATGCTACTGTATCGCTGGCTACAAGCGAGGGTCCCTGGTTCAAGTCATGGTACCGTGGTGACAGTCATTTTTTTTCAGACTTTCCCATTTACGTCTTTCCCTCGAACCAGAGAGTACTGTAGTGATGATAGGATGATAGGATGTATTCTGCCACCGTGATCACCATGCAATAATGAAGGTAGTAGGTCAATGGCCATAACAAAGATCTTGGGGAGGGGGGGGGGGGGGACATTCATCGATTCAGCTAATAGTAATATCCTGAAAATATGTTATAGGTATGAACCGCACACACACATACACTGCATGATCCGTTATGCCAGAATATTTTCTACAGAGCAATGAGCCAAACCAAGAAGCGGAACACGGAACACTGTGCATAATAGCAGCCAGTGCTTCACTCGTGAACAGTTCTAATTCTTTTTCTTACCGGATTCGCACGCAGAACTAATGTTCCAAGCGTTTCAATGCTGTTAAGCCCATGTAGAGAGTGTAGACAATGTGCATTGATGATGGACAAACCACCAGCTGTCCTCAGACAAGCCAGGCCAGTCAGCGTTGTAATATTTAGGTCCTGAAGCAGCAGCTGGTCTGCAGGAGCCAGAGTCAGGATGTAATGACAGTACATGTACATGAGTAATGGTTGACGCGTGCAGATCAACATAGTGGAGCATTGGTACTGTGCACACAGATACGTGTCCATGTACACGTAGTGCTGCCTGCACACCAAGTGCTCACATGTACATGTACAGGTATATGTGTGCAGGAACGTGTGGATATCCTCTTGCGTGCATTCCATGAATGCACACAGAAACGTGCATGCATAACTACATGCATGGACAAAAGTGGGAAAAAGAGACCACCCTGGTACGGCCTAGCTTGGGCACAGAGCATGCATTATTCACAGCAAGGACCCTAGACCCGCTGTACAAACACACACACACACACACACACACACACACACGCACACACACACACACACACACACACACACACACACACACACACACACACACACACACACAAAACATGCACATACAGTCCGAATTAGGTTGTTTTTGAAAACGTTGACCAGACTTGTTCTGATTGTAGTCTTGTATTCAACATGTCCTGGCTCATCAAACGACTGGCAATGAAAAGTGAATGTGAAATGAAGGGTGGTAGCCAACCACAGCAACTTACTGGTGACTGAGGCAATGTCATTTAGACCAGTCAAATCAGTGAGCAATGGATTTCCGCTTATAGTGAGTGAACGCATGGTAACGGAGCAGCTTGGCAGAGTAGGGTCAAAGAGACCAGACAATGACATCAGGAGAGGGTTTCTTTCAAGATTTAACTCATTCAATGTGTCCAGTTCTTGGAGGCCAGATAGATTGCTAATAGCAGTGTTCCTCACTACCAGCGAATCTATATCCTGGAGACAACAACAACAACAACAACAACAACAACAACAACAACAACAACAACAACAACAGCAGCAGCAGCAGCAGCAGCAGCAGCAGCAGCAACAACAACAACAAGTGAGAATAAAGATTTGAAACAACAGCTTGATTTCCTTGTCAAGGAGTTGAACTCGAGCGTAGATGTAATCCAATTACTAACTCGTGATAAGCACGTACAGATTGTGAAGACAGCAAAATAATCAACAAATGTTCTTTGGCTCTCTGAATTGCATTGCACAATCCTATTTGATCCTTGCAGCAGGGGGGCACACAATGCCTTTTGTCTTTCCAACAGGAATCCCTGTAGAAAACGTGCAGACACTTGGAAGCAAGCAATGTCGCATAGCTAAGTCAGAATTCTGATGTCCCGACAAGCAAACTGTGCCTACCCTTGCATTAGCGAAGGCATGTAAATCATGTATTGAGCACTTCTCCTGATCCACACACTCCACTGTCACTGGACCAATGATCTACAGAATGGTCAGCACACATCAGCAGGGCTTTGAATCAGTCACAGTGAAATCACACAAAATCATGTGTTTCTGACAAGAAGTGCATAATATAAGTGACAATGGCATGTCTAAGCTGATGGTTTTCCAGAATCGCATCAATGCTCCGGCCAAAAGATCCACAAGCGACCGCCACCAAAACGTACTCAATAGAGAGGTTCCGGGGTACGATTTTCCGTGCCAAAATCCGTGTGGGCGCTACGGATTTTTTCCAGGCGTGCTCCATACGATTTTTCGGCACGGAGAATCCGTGTGGACTGGCTTTCACACGAACCATGTTTCGTATGGAGATTTTGCGTCATCGGGTGCAGAAAGATTTTTCGCGTACAAATTTGGTACGAGAAACATGGATTTTCCGCGGGAAGTTTTGATTTCGGTACAAATTTTCAAAATAAAAAGGCATAGCGCGGGAATGTGACGTGTTTGCGATCGTAACCTAGGCAATGACGGCAAACACATAAGTTCCGTACTCCGGAACATTTCACTGCTCGAAAACGACGTATAAAAAATCCGTAGCGCCTCTACGGATTTTGGCACGAAAATCGTACTCCGGAACCTCAAGGCGTTTCACGCATTGCATGGCCTATTTTAGCAAATCTGCTGTGGCATGAGCTCGGAGAATCAGAGAATTGCAAACTTACGCGCTCTCTTCCATTTTAACACTGCAATAGTTCAACTCATTTCACAATGGTATTACAACGTTTTGGCAAATTGCCTTCATCAGGTTCACATTTTAATGGAAGAGAGCGTGTGGCCTCTACTCTTAACTGTTTATGAAACTGCAGGAAGCCTCCCCACTTTTACTTCATGACTGTATGTCATATAACCCATCAAATGTACAACTTTGAAAGGTGACCATCTGTCCCCAGAGTATTGCTAGAGCCAAGGCTAGACAAAGCGTGCCTCTGTCCAGTCTAATCACCATGGATTAGCAATCACCATGGATTAGCAATCACCATGGCAATCACCATGGCAATCACCATGGCAATCACCATGGCAATCACCATGGATTAGCACACTACCAGTGTATACAGGGTTAGTGTTGATTTTCGGGTTCCTCATGGACAGGCTTCATTTGTGTTCAGTCACCATTGTAATGATTACAATACAGTTTTACCTGGCTAGTATTGGCCGATGTCCGTGATAGTTGCTCTAAACAGATAATATACTTTGAAACCTGTCCAAGACGACCGTTCAAGGGATCTTCAAAACGTGGTCTCCGTTACCAGGTGGTCTTCGTATCCAGGTTCATTTGACTGGAAATAGCATCACTTGGTCCTGGTTGCAGTGGTCATCTTGGACAGGTGGTCGCCTTGACCGGTTTTACTGTGCTGCTTACCTGATGGCATGTAGAGATGTGCTCAGCCAGTTGTGCAGCATCCGTGATATGAATACCTTCCGAGAAAGCACAGACTTGAGTCTCAGTCTGCAAGTGACACAGGCACACATGACATTGTCATTGTCTAACATACATTCACTACTGGGTAGTAGATAGCCAGGCCGCAAATAAACAACACCTAATGCACTTCACATGTAACATGCGACACTTCTGTACACCTAAGCTGCCCACAGATACAGGCTGCGCTGACGCCGTTCTATCATCAGACCCAGGTATCAATTTGAAACACGAAATCAGTTTAGAAAATGGAGTATTGTACATGGAGTATGTCTAACACACTGCCACATCATTCCTTACTTGGCAGTACTCTCCAGTGAATCCTGCTGCGCATACACACGTGAATGCATTCTCTTGATCTATGCATGTTGCTGCACTGCCACATGGCATGGTCAGACATTCGTCCAGGTTGATCTGCAGCAACAAACAGTGCAGAAAGGAGCAGATGGTGTAGATAACCTGCAAGAAAACACCCAGCATGCTCGGTGTGTGTGTCTGTGTGCGTGTGTGTGTGTGTGTGTGTGTGTGTGTGTGTGTGTATGTGTGTGTGTGTGTGCGTGTGTGTGTATGTGTGTGCATGTGCGTGTGTGTTTATGCGTGTACAATCAATATTCAGCAGGAGTGCATTGGATTGATTTGGTGCGTGCACCTCTTGATGACGTGGCTGTCAGTACAGTTCTAATTAGCCAGCATTGGCACTGATTGTTGGGCTTAGGCCGCATTGGCCAAAACAAGTATTTGTCTTTACTACGACTCCTTAGTATTAAGCTCTTTAGTGTTGGGCACAAAAGAGCACAATTAACTTCTATCAATGTTTTTCTTTGATTTCTATGGCCCTTGGAATTGCCACACCGCAACAAGACATGCCCATTGCCATTCACAAGTGATCACAGAGAGAACAAAATTATAAGATCTCATGCTTTACATTCCTAGCTAGAGCAGCACCAAGCAGAAAGGAAAAAAAGCAGTGCCGTCAGTGAACTTGAACTGATCCGAGAGTCGCGAGTCCTTGTTTGACAGGACTTGCTTTGTTCTAAATGTTCATACGCATGATAATAGGGTGAGCAGTTACCGGTAGTTTTTTAGTATACGTGCTGTAAGTGCCTTTTCTCCACCTGCTCCCAGTCCCGTGCCATCTCCACACTTATACAAAGGGACGACGATAACTGCATTTGAAAGACTGTTCATTGCAAGACGACTGCGAAACACAACTAGACATGACGAACTCAAGACGAAGACTGCTTTTCACACCACAGCAACACGCGCATGCACCAACATGACGTACACACGACGTACACAAAATAACGTACTACAACAAACGTCCCGGTCACATTTCCATGTGCAGTACACTCACTGTACTGCAACTTACTTCACAGTTGGATCCCGTGAAACCAGGAACACACACGCATGTGAAGTTGTTGATGTGATCAGTACAGTGCGCTTTGTTTTGACATGGCATCACTTCACACTCATCAATATCAGTCTAGAGATAGAGAGAAATACACACAAAGCGACAGAGAGAGGGAGACCTAGAGAGTTAGTGTGTGTGTGTGTGTGTGTGTGTGTGTGTGTGTGTGTGTGTGTGTGTGTGTGAAGCTTCTCGTTGCAGGTTTCGGAGTTTGCCCTGCTGGTTGCTCTGATTCGGTCATTGGCAGTGATAGGGTTGAAGCAGTCACCTCATTCCCCTATCTTGGTTCCACCATCACTCCAGACTCGCGGTCGCAAGCGGACATTCGGAGCCGTCTAGCAAAGGGTGCAGGGGCCTTTGGTGGTCTTCGGCGCATCCTACATGACCGGAGCCTGAACCTCCCTACCAGGCGCCACCTGTATGTCGTTTGCGTACTGTCAACGGTTCTGTATGGTTCAGAATGCTGGACGCCGTTGAAGGCAGATTTAGATAGAATGGACCGGTTTCACCATGCCAACATTCGCTCCATCCTTGGCGTATCGCGAGGCCGACAGTGGGAACAGCGCATCTCTTCACAGGAACTGCGAGCACAGTGGGGTGATCCCACACCATTGTCACGCATGGTGCAGCAGAGACGGTTGGAGTGGCTTGGGCACCTGGCTCGTCTTGATGACACCAGAGTACCGAAGCAGTTGCTGTTTGCCTGTCTCCCTCAGTCTCGGCCATTCTGTGGACCTCGTCGTCGCTGGAAGGACACCATTCACACGGACCTATCCGTGGCTGGAGTGCGTAACTGGTTTGAGTTGGCAAGCGATCGTGGAGAGTGGCGTGGAGTGGTGACAGCAGCAGGTGAGGACAAGGAACCCGCCCCGAAGAGCATCGAGTGCCCAACCTGCAACCGTCTGTTCCGCCGTAGTTCCGACATGGTCCGGCACAAGTGTTCAGCAATCCGTCAGCTCCCGGTATCGGAGCAGCCTGGATCAGTACAGTGTCCAACATGCAACCGATGGCTACGTAGCAGAGGAGGCTTTGCGGTGCATAAGTGTCGGCTAGGCGATGTCGACCAGCCGCCGGCCCCTGCCCCTGCTCCTCTTGTTGTTCCTGGTGTAACTTGCACCAACTGTCAGCGTTCATTTAAATCGGCTGCGGGTCTCAAGCGTCACCGTTGTGGAACCTGTCCAAAGCGCCCTACTGTGGCTGAACGCCAACAATTCAAGTTTCACTGCCAAGTTTGCCACAACCGACGGTTCCGGAGGCGGCA